ATTGGGGGCAAACTTTCCTCTCTTTGGTTCGTACTTACCTTCCCAAAAGAAAAGGAGGCATCCAAAAGGAAGTTGCCTACCAAGAAATCCGTTGTCAAAACGAAGTGCCCATGGTGGATCACCACCATTCAATTGTTTTACAATGTTTATGGCCATCGCATGATGTTTGGAGGCATAAGGCCACAAAGAAAGAGGCATGTTGGCCTGGAGGAGGTTGGAGCGCGCCCCTTCCAGAATGGTGCGGACTTCACGCTCAACAACCGCTTTGGTGGAATGTTGATATTCAACAGAAGTCTGGTGTTTGAAACCAAGTTCTTCTATGGCATCCAGCATTTCTGGAGCATTGTCGGTGTACACTATACCAACAATATCAGAAGTCTTCAGAAAATGTTTGAAAGCCTTAACAATAGAATCGGCAGTCTTGTTTTCAGAAGGGTAAACACATCTGTATTGAGTATAAATATCTTTGATCACCAACATTGACGTTTGGCCTTCTATGCCTTCTTCAATATCTTTGGGAATAACATGGTCGCACACTATGTGGTCGCCAAACCCACGCGCCAAAACATGTTGTGATCCGCCTACGCTTCTACCGTAGGGAGCAAGCATTTTAGCTTCGCTACAAACATCGCAGTAGGGATTCTTTGGTCGATGTGTGAATTGATGCGCCCCTGATTTTGCTTCCTTTCGAAGTTGCTCTTCGGTCTTCTCCCCTGCTACGGGAACGTCTTCAAAATCAAAAGGAACCTCAACTTCTGGGTCACTGTCCTCTTCGTCCTCCTGTCCATCATCGGCATTGGCATCTACGCCAGCTTCGTCAGCCTCCTCTTGGTCTTCCTCGGGTTCGGACTCATGGCTGGCCATGGCGTAGCCCTGGTCGATGGTGAACTGGTGGATGGAATCGAGTACCTTAGTAAGGCGAGTCCTCAGTGATTCAGGAATTGAGAATGGGGTACATGTTTCATCAATATATGGAACCCTACCTTGCAATTTGAATTTAACGCATTGTCCATCAGGTCGAAGAAATATGGGAGTAGTGTCCTTTCCCCAAACAAAATCATATCCCTGTTCTAAGCACCTCAAACCAATTGAAAGTGCAGAGGGAGTACTTTGGAGAATGTAGGGGTTGAAGGATTCACATAACCCTGGCAAGATCACCTCTACTACTTCGTCAGCAGTGATAGGTCCATTGGCAGTAGTAAGGGAGATTGGTTCGTTGGATTTGAATATCTTGGTGGCCCTGTTGACTGTCTTAGAGTCCTTACCTACGATGTCCTGGTCAGTGCCAGTGTCACCCAGCCACTTCTCCATACCAACCATGTTTGGCATCGCTGTTAAGCGAGCACATGACGGCACCTGTTCTCCGACGACTGTTCTGCACTTCGTGCAGCACAAATCATCGGGGCCTTCTGGGGAATGTTCACAAAGGAAATCACACGCAGGCTCCTCGGTATCCATCGAAACGAGCATCTGCCTAAGTGACTCCGCTGCCAAAATGGCGTCCTTAGTGTCACACTCGCGGGACTTTGGGCATTCCTCAGTGGTCCGGAACAGGTTCCGCTTCTTGCTCTTATTCACTACATGCCGGTACATTTCCTTCCAAACAGGAAAGGTGTGTACCTCCGGTTCTAATTCAAAACGAATTCTCTTCTCTTGCACAACACGGAAAATTGACTTTCCAGTCCAATCAAATTTCTGTTTCGCGTTTGGGTGATTCTTCCAATTACCCTTGATTGTCCTACTCTTTCCCTTTGAGTCAGTGACTACCATGGTAAACTGGTCTTCCAACCTAGATGACTCAACTGGACAGGATTTACGTGTTGGGAGAAACGACCTGTGCCTAGGCTTCAAATGGTGCCTAATCAACTCATTGCCATCTTTGGAGAATTCCCAGTAGTCTTTACTCTTTTGGGTCCGAGTTGCGGTTACTGCTAAGCAAGACATTGCGAAACCTGTTTGAATACATGGACTGGCCTTTGGACTTTTGTCCTTCTTTTCCCGTTTGCTCTTTTTGTCCTTTTTGTCCTTCTTGGATTTCTTGTCCTTAGACCTTTTAGCTGCGGGCGAGGGACTCCTTCTGCGCGGGGCTGGTGTTGCAGTGTCTCCGTGTTTAAACGGGCATTTGTCACCCCTTTTGCAGTTACCCTTTGCAAAGAACCTGCATGGCTTGTCAGATTTCCTCCCTCTACTTGAGCTTCTTGATGAGTTCCTTGAACTGGAGCGGGAAGTGTGTCTTGACGAACTTCGAGATCGGCTTGACCTGAACGATGAACGGCTGCTCGGACTTGCGCTACGCGAACGAGACGACTCCCGACTAAGGGAGCGGGGACGGGCGCTAGAGTCGTGTGAGTACTTGCATTTGCTCCCGTACTTACACTTACCAGTTTTGGCATACTCATAGCATTGATTGCTTCCGTCGCCCTTTGTGCTTCGTTTGCCATAACTTGGGCTTCGCGTGCGCTTGTCGTGCGGTGCCGGGTTTGCGAACTTTGCCGCGTGTGATTGTGATATCTTTTCGCGATTGGTCCTGAGCCTTTCCCTGTCAAGGTAACGTCGAACAGAATTGATAAGAAATTCATAGCTTCTGTCGTTACTTCCCTCCGGCGCTCGTTCATAAACATCAAGGTCAAATCTGAGCTTGCGGGACTTCCTAACCTCTCTATAAAACAAATCCTTGAGAGTTGCCGGGTCTGGGACATGACTCATTCCGGTCAGAACACTCTCCCATTTTCTTAGAAAGGATTTCAAGTCGTCGCTATCAAGCGAGATCTTGAGGAGGTCCTCAGTGCCATACAGTGCACCCGCTTCTTCACTGGTCTTGAAGTGGACTTCAAACATGAGCAACACCTGACGACCACGGACGATCCTACCTTGCTGTGCCTCAGATTCCTTATAATTAAGGATCTGCTGAGACAGTTCACCTTTGGCAACCTTAGTTAAAGCAGCAAGTAGTTTCGTGTCTAAGGTCCGAAACTTGCCTGGGTCAGCCAATTCGGAACAAAGCTTGGCTTTGTCTTCACGAACAGCGTACACCTCAAGCACCCATGCGAACGCAGCGTCTGGGTCATCGGACGCGGACCGTATCGCTTCGCGAACCGCGGCCCTCCAAGTGCGGTACCTGTCAGGACTTGGGAATTCAGGGAGATCTATCTTGTCAGCCTCCTTTGCCTTGGGCTTATCGGAGTCTTTGCTTTTAGCGCCCTTAAACCCTTCTAGCAAGGCCTTCTTGATGATTTCCCCCAAATCTTGGTCTTGTGGAGTTCTTACCTGAGAAGCCGGCCCTTCTTCTCTGCGATCATCCTTAGTCTTTGTTGCTTCCTGATTAAAGGAGCTTTTGTACAAAGGATCATCACTGAAGTTGTATTGTGTTGACTTCTTCATGTACTCCATCCACGGATCCGGTTGTTTGAATTGTTGCCTGTCTGTAGAGGCCGTTGCCTGTTCCGCTGCGGGCGCCCCTGTCCCTGAGAACATTGATGGGAATCCTGTGTTGCGCACGGACGCTGTTGCATCCATAGCTGTCTTTATAGGAGATCCACCTTTATCAAGGGGCTTACCGTCTAAGGTTGCTGGAACAGTGCCTTCCGTGCGTAGAGGTTCAAAAGATTGCGGTTGACCAATTGGGTGAGCGTCTTGTCGAGCAGGAGGTGTGAATGGCTCAGGGTATTGCGGCCCTGGCTTAACGGGGCTAGAGGATTGCGCTTTGCGCTCCGCTTCCTTGCGTTCCTCTTCCCTGTCTGTCAAGGACTGTACGACACGCCTGAGCTCATCCATTTCACCCTTCAACATTGCATTGTCCTTGCGAAGCTCAACTATAGTTTGCTCTTGTGTTTCCCGATCAACTCTATGTTGCTTATTTGTAGCCTCCATTTCATTAACAAGGGTTTTGATCTTTGCCTGTGCAATTGCCAACGAACTGTCCAGTTGTTCTCGCTTGAAGTCAAGTTCTATAGCGATCCGGGATTCTTCAGCAGACGAATGTCTTGCCTGATCCTTCGCCTCTACGGCTGCCTTCAGCTTAGCCTCCTGTTGCTCAACATACTGGTGATGTTCAGTTCTCATTTTGTCAACAAAAGCATTGCCTTCTTCCGCCATGGCATTCTTTTCCTGTACAACTTTCTCATGAGCTGCTGTCGCCTGAGCTAGCCGCTGCTGAAAATGTTCCCTTTGCTCCTCCAATGTACCTTGCAACCGTTTGATTGCAACATTGTCTTGCTGTTGGACCATTTGCTGAACACTTTGTTCCTGCTGTTGGGCCCTTTGTTGAACATTCAACATTGCCTGCTCTGCGGCAGCCTTTGTTGCCGCTATAGATTCGGAAGCTTCTCTTTCGTAAATACTCCTGAAGCGCAATGCCTCGATTTCAGCTTCCCTCCTGGCTTGTTCGCTGAGCAAAAACTCATGTTGTTGTAACTCCCGTCGTAGTTCTTCGTCGTTTGGCGATGCGTTCAGGTTGACAACGTTGAGCCGAGTCATTGCCAACAAGTTGTTTACTGTTGGCGCACCAGCTACGGTGGCTGACGGCATACCTGCTAGGGTAGCTTGCGCCGCCTCTTGAAGAGTAACACTACCACCACTATTTAGCATTTCTTGGTACACCTCCGAAGCAACCCTTGGATCCATTGCAGCCACTTGTGCAACTGCCTGTTCATGCCGTTGAACTGCATCCAAACTATTGGGCACACTCGGAACTATGTCAAAGCCACTTCCGTAGGCATTCGGTGGGACGTCGTCATCCATTGGGTCCATAGCTCTAATCTAGCTAGCCTACGGCTGATAACCTGTATTTTACAGGATCAGCTCTAATAGTACTAACTACCTAGCTAACCCTGCTAGCCCGGTAAGCGCTACCTTTTGCTCTACCTTGAGAGTCAACGCTACGGGGTCCATGGGGATGAGGTGAATTTCAACACAAACAAACAAACAAATGTGAATCAGTGGATCAAGCTACAGAGAATCAAGCAAAAGAACGATTTGTTTTATATGTTTAATGAAGCTACCTGCATCTGCAAAGTAACGGATGGCCTGGTAGACCTCGTCCATACCTCATGTGACAGGCTGGCACTGTTCATTTGGAAAACATGTCTACTAGACATGACTGGCTACAGTGACACTACTGAACAACCGTTGTCGCAGTATGCCAACGAATGCGCCTCGTTTTCTGCGGACACAGCACAATAGTCATGGTAGACAATGGTTTCCACGCAGCAGGGGATGTAGCGTAGTACGGACATGGTTTCCCCGACCACATTGAAGAAATCGTGCTGTGCATCGATGACCACAGCCTGGTCGAATGAGCAGGGGTGGTTTTTTAACAGCAAATCCGGCCACCCAATGCATCTGTGGTCCAGGGAGCTGCTTTGGAGTCCAGGGGGATTCATGAGTTCTTCCTGGAGTCCTGCTCTTCTTTCACCCAGTCCGACCCTGCCACAACACTGCCGTGCCCCCTGCCGGAACACACACGACCGATGGCCGTCGTCTGGGCCGATGAACGGCGTCTGAAGACATGCCCAGGCGCCGAGATGTTCTGCTCCACCAGCACACTCAGGGCAAAGGGCAGTTTGGCATCGAGGTGCAAAGCAAGGATGTTGGAGAAGCTGCCTTGGCGGAATGTGTTCGGTTCCTCTATGGCAGACCATGAAATCAATCAGACCAAAGAGGTGGTTCATGGTGGTTCGCTCTCACCATGTTTTCAGAGAGTGTATTCCAGCAGTTTCCACTTCCGTCCTTCGAGGCCTTTAGAGTACAGAGCAGACCATGTAGAGCAAAGCAGGAGAGCCCGACGTTTTGGGCAGAAAAGTGGCGTCAAAAGTTGTTTAAATTGATTTGGCTCCAAGTGGCGTCCATCTCGTTTGAACAGCTTCGAACTGTCCAAGCGGTAGTAGTCATGAGTCGCCTGGTTCCACGCAGAACTTGGGAGATGGCCCCAAGTGGCCCAAGTGCTGGATTGAAAAAGGGACTTAAGCATACTTGCTGTAAACGTTCGCAATTAAGTGGTTACAACTTACAACAATTTGTGATGTTCCTTTCACCTTTGTGGTAATTGCCGAGGTTGTTCAGGATGATCGTGCAGGTACTTGGAGGTTGGAGACCCGCAAACCCTTGACAACACGGCAACTGTTCGAAGAACGACCGTTTTGAACCCTCGCGAAAACCATGGGAGGCACATGGAAGCACATGGAAGCACATAGCCACAGAACACGCACACACAACATCAGGTTAAACTGGCCTTTGCTGTGTCTTTCTTTTCCTCTCGGCCAATGTCCTTAGCAAGCAGTTTGGTCTTGAAAAACCTCAGCAGAACCTCGGGGTGGTAGCCCCGCAATTTCAAAAACTGATGTACATCCTTCATAATCAATACAAACATGTTCTTTGCCCTTGACTCAAACAGCCCAGAACAGAACCCACACTCGATTTCGGTTCCCTTGGTCTCGACCAAGTCTCCCAAAAGACCTCGGTGCCGACCACGAGGCCAAAGTTCACCGCGAGCGCCTAGGTCGACCATATTCACGGCCACCAAACCGACTGACGCGCCAATCGTGGGCAACAAATGAGCAACAAAGAGAAAGAACATTTGTGCATTTGGAGGAAATGTTGAAGGACTGCATGAAAGAACTAAAAGATTCGAGAAGGCGTCTTCAGAGATCATGAGGATCTGATATGTGGTAAACACACAGAATTCGTGTATAGACTACGCCATGTCCTCTTGAATTTTGCATGTCCTTCACCAAAACACCGAACAGTCCAACAGCAAATGGACATATTCATCAAAGCCCTAAGCCACGCTAGACTAGATCACCAGCCCCCCGCACTCCTCGAAAGGTCCATCCTTCCGACTGACCCGTCGCGGCACCGCGGAGGTCGCTCCGGCGCCGGCGCCGATGTCCAGCGCCGTGCTGCGCGCGTAGCGCTCGGAGCGGAAGAGCCGGATCACCTCCTGAGGGCAGGGAGTGATGATAATATTTACCTGGTCGACAACACTTCTGCCACTCTTGGGGGGGGTCGTTTAAGAGGCGGGATCGTTCCTTGGTTCTTCCTTTTCCCGAACCAGCGCACGGTTGTTTCCAAAGTGCACGGGTCGGTCCGGAGTTCGGCAAAAGAAAATGTGATTCACACTGCTGGCCACTCCGCGCCAGCACACTCGAAGCCAAAGCAATGGCGAGGTTCATGGCCTTGATGTTTCCCCAAAAGGTCCAATGCAGCCCGCAAATGAATCACAACGTTTAACATGGGTTCCCCGTCTCAGATATGCTTGAACCCCCGGAATTCAAGTAGAAACTACGAAAACCAAAAGCATTAAAGATACAAAAACTATTGAAAAATACAACCCTGAAAGACAACTGTATTGCATGGTTCTACGTCCCAACTGGCCCTGGTTCTCAAACAACATACTCAAATGAGGACCACAATGCAAATAGCACCCACCAAGGTAATTGAAGTTTGAATCACGGTTTCTTTTTTATGTGTTTTCAAGATGCATTTTGTAGTGTGGCAAAATGAAAACAAAGGCAACCAGGCCCCGAAATCAGCAAGCACCCTCGTCGATACGTCAGCAAAACAAAAAAATTGCACAATTTGGTTTCGCAACCCGCTTCGGCGATTTTTGTATGTTTTGTCTGTTTTTCGCGGGCCGTATTGTTTTGTAATTTTTCGCGGGTCGTGTTGTTGTCTTTCTTGGACCTTTTTGGGTTTTTTATTTTTGCACTATTTGGATTCTTTGTATTTTTCTATGTCTCGTATTGTTTTGTATTTTTGTTTTTTGTGTTTTAAGACGTGTTTCGTTCTTTTTTGCGGGTCATTTTGGTAGTTTTTTTGGCGGCTATAACTATATTTTCTTTTTGTTCCCCAAATAGTGCTCCGCACTAAGGGGTTCTTACGGTAAGAGTTAAGCGGGTTTAGATCAGGGTTCGCGCGTGTGGCTGCGGCATTTTGCGTGGGCCGGCTCGCACAAAAGTTACTTTTTGATTCCTCATGTCCATTTCGACTGCGCAGGCTCGCATAAAGTGGTGGCCGCGCCTTTCGCGCTTCCGGGACAAAGCTCTCGTGCAGGTGCCGTGCTCGTTTTCGGACATGAAATGCATTTTGCGTGGCAGGCGCAAGGAATTCGACACATTGGAGCCTCGAAAAGGTCATTTTACGTGGCAGGTGCAAGGAATCGGAGACTTTGCAAATTTCGTGGCAGGCGCAGTGTTTTGTGGACGTTGCAAAAACGTTGGCAGGCGTGTGTCATTCGCAGGATTGCGTTTCACGTGGCAGGCGCAGGGACCCGCACCATGGATGCGATATTTTGAGGTGAAACGGCTGAATTCGTGAGAGGGGTCGCATTTTTGGAATTTGAACTTGAGGATGCTTTTGCGTGGCCAGTGCAGCATTTCGTATGACCTGCAGGCATGATTTCGTGGCAGGCGCAGCATTTCTGAAACGCATTTCAAAATTTGCGAAAGCCTCGTGCAATTTGCTCATTTTGGATCTCCGATGTGCAGATTTCGTGGCAGGCGCAGCACTTTGTGAATCTGGATGTGCAGATTTCGTGGCAGGCGCAGCACTTTGTGAATCTCGATGCGCAGATTGCGTGGCAGGCGCAGCACTTTGTGAATCTCGATGTGCAGATTTCGTGGCAGGCGCAGCACTTTGTGAATCTCGATGCGCAGATTTCGCGGCAGGCGCAGCACTTTGTGAAGCTCGATGCGCAGATTTCGTGGCAGGCGCAGCACTTTGTGAATCTCGATGTGCAGATTTCGTGGCAGGCGCAGCACTGTCACTGTGTGAATCTAGATGTGCAGATTTCGTGGCAGGCGCAGCACTTGCTGAGTCTGGAAGTGGAGATTTCGTGGCAGGTGCAGCACTTTGTGAATCTCGATGCGCAGATTTCGTAGCAGGCGCAGCACTTTGTGAATCTCAATGTGCAGATTTCGTGGCAGGCGCAGTGCTTTGTGAACCTCCATGCGCAGATTTCGTAGCAGGCGCGGTACATTGTGAACTTTGAAATGCTCCTATGTATTCGCCTATGTGCTCTCAGATTTGTGCTTGTATGTGCTCTCACATTTGTGCTCTCAGATGTGTGCTCTCATGTGCTCTCATGTGCTCCCATATGCCCATATGTGTGCTCTCATTTGTGCTCGTGAATCTGCACTCTCACATTTGCGCTCTTGTATGTATCCTCTCATATTTGTGCTGTCATCTGCGCGCTCCTTCTTTCCTTCCACGTGATGCCATGTTCCATCTGTTCCTCTTTACACTATTTGGGGTCCCTTGCCGGTGTAATTTTTTGAAAAACAAAAACAGGTCGCAATTTTTCGTACTTTTAAATACAAATGTTCAATCCTATCCATGTCAATGCGAATCAAGCGGCTATTTCCTTCAATATTGTTTGCAGTTTCGCATTGTTTAAGGGTTGTATTTTTGAAAATGAACAGTGCAATAATCAAAAATGTATTTTAAAAAATACAACTGGCGAATGTGTGTTTTCAGTCATTTTCTATTGTGTGCTTTTATACGTGTAGTTACTTTATCACTTTTTGACTGTACCTGGAACCGGGAAACCAAAGATATATTACAAGAATGGTGGAGACCACGGAATCAGGGTGTTTGGGCCAACATAATTCAAAAAACTCGTCACCAGCTTGTCGTCTAATCTTTCCGACACAGAACAAATACCAAGCTTGCTTTGACAAAGTTTGAACAACTTAAAGTCTTGAACAACTTTGCGGGGCAAGCACTTGCGGGCTGCCGAGCCTGCGAGTTGTGCGTCGCGCCCCTCGCAGCTTTGCGAAGGGCAGTGGCGTACCCCTTCTAGGATCCCGACCCGGACGTGAGCTGGAGGGACGAGCCAGCCTGCTCGATCATCTTGCACCAGCAACGCCGGTTTGAACAAAAGGGATGCTACGACACTACAACCATCTACAACCCTATATGCAATGAGATGATCTCAATGAAGGCAGGCTGTCTGCAGTCCGCAAAACCAGGCTGGGCTGTTACGGGACCGCACGTATGAAACTCCTGGGCCCGGTGGCCTCCAACACTTCATGGAACATCATGCGATCTTGCTCGTCCGTGATGTCCATGTCACGTCCGTCCCAGCGTCGTGAATGACTAGTGCGATGATGCATATCTCCTTCTTGTTTCAGATCTGGACATTTTGGACCGAACCAAACATGGCACCCTAATCAACCCAATGATCCCGCCCGAAGCTCTCCCAAAGAGTACAGACACAGTGGAAGGTCGAACTGGGCTCACCAGTGGTTGACCCACAACGAAACCGGGTGACCAGGAACGTCGCATCGATCGATCACCGGTGGATGTCCGACCGGTCAGACCGAGCCACTCGATGCAAAAGGCTTGGAGATCGATAAAGTCCTTCCGATGTGCTGTTCGAAGGCGAAGAGGAAGGTGAAGGTGATGAGCTCATGGTGAAGGAAGGATGCAAAAAGGGCACAATGTTGGGAATGGTATATGTTTAGATACACTCCAGGACATTTGTCCTAATGTTCTTGGAGGTCTTTTACTAAGGGATTGACACTCTTCACTCACGTTCACATCCTTTGGTGGAAAAAACACAGGACGCCTCTCGAGGATGTGAGAGCTCCTGCGCGAGTGGGTCGTCGGGTCGTCGGTGGCGCCCGGAAGCACGGAGAAAGCAGCGCCCTTTGGCGTCAGAACCTCTTGGACGCCCAGCTGCCCGACGGGCGGCGCTGCCGCCTGAACTTTGCTGCCCGTCTCGAGTTCCAGGACGGCAAGAGGAAGCTCGCGAGCCAGGACTACCACGGACGGGCGAGTGAGGTGAGGTGAGGTGAGGTGAGGTGCACTGAGGTGAGGTGAGGTGAGGTGAGGTGAGGTGTGGTGGGGTGTGGTGAGGTGGGGTGAGGTGGGGTGGGGTGGGGTGGGGTGAGGTGAGGCGGGGTGAGGCGAGGTGAGGTGAGGTGAGTGAGTGGAGTGGAGTGGAGTGGAGTGGAGTGGAGTGGAGTGGAGTGGA